AAACCCCATCCCATCTTACCCCCAAATCCCATCCCACAGTAGTGCTGGGTTCTGGGTAATGCATTCACCACCACCCAGGGCACAAATTCAGCCCCAAACCCTCCCAGCCCATAGCGGGGAAAGGCAGGAGAAACCCCAGGGACTTCTTATGGGAATGTCACTGCCGAACAGCGCGGTGTTGTTGTGTGCAATGCAAAAATCACATGTCCCACTGCAGCAGCACCGAGCTGCCCCTGGGGACGAGGGCTTGGAAGCTGCTTTCTCTGCTGCTCAGACACTTTGGGTAATGTTTGTGCTGCTCCGGGGCCAAAGGATCCCGGCTGGAAGAGCAGGGAAGGAGGTGCATCCCCTGTGCTGATGAGGAATTTTCCAATAGGGATCTGCAGGAGGGTTTGAGCAGCCTTTCCTACAACACGGGGGAGCCGGCCAATGAGCTGCTGTCCCAATTTCATTTCTGGAAATAGCACAGTGCCAAGAAACCTCCCAGCTTGGGGAGGCTCGGAGGAAAGAAGGCAGAGGCAGCAGCTCTGGCTCAGGGTTCACAGGTGTCAGCATCACCTCTGAGGAGCTCCTGTGCTGGGGGTGATGATCTGAGCAGGAGAAAAGCCGTGCTGCCAAAACCCAGAGCTGTCCAGCTGGGAAAGACATAAGGGACAGCTGGAAGCGGAATCAGGGGAATATTAAAATAGAAATACATATTTCTAAAGTGAGAAACGCAAACTCCAGGAACAGCAGCCATGAGGACGTGGTCTTCCTGTCCTGCTGGGGATGGGACACCCATTCCAGGATGCCCCGGTGCGAAGGGACACCTCTACGTGGCACTAAATTGAGCCACTTCTCTCCACTGCCATCATTTCTTCACCTCCTCTTTCCTCCTTCACCCCTTTTTTTTCTCTCCCTGTCTCCAGGAATTTGAGGTTTCACCCCATTCTTTGCCCCAGAAGGATTTGCCATTGCTGCTGCATGCCTATGAGCGCTCACACCCCCTGCTCCTGCCCTGGCAAGCACCATCCTGCCCCAACATGGGCGGCTTCTCATCAAAAGAGGAGCTCATCCCATAGCACAGGGTGTGTTGAAGGGGTGGCCACAGAAGACAAAGGGTTTTTGCCAGTCCTCTGATGGATGGCAGTGGAAATGTTGAATCCACTCCCAAGCTGTCCATGCTGCTGAGGCTGCTGGAAGGGGTGGGCAGGAATAGCTCTTGGCCAGCAGCCGGGCTCGATAACACTCACTGGGTCCCTGAGGGATTAAAATAGGTCCTAAAAGTGGAAGGGAGATAACGGTGTGAGGAGGGGGAGGGCCCAGATTGGGGGGGGGGGGGGGGGGGCAGAGACAGCGAGCAACCGGCCGCCTGCTTTACCCAGTGCTGTGCCAAGGGCGGCGCTGGTGAGGAGTGCAATGGGAACTTTGGGATTTGTTTTCCTTTTGCCCCAGTGATCTCTCAGCATTTTCTCCTGCCAGCTTCAGGAAGAGCAAAAAAAAAACCAACCCAACACCCCATGAACATCTTCTCAGCACCAAGCGATGGGGACCTGAGCACCTCAGCAGCGCTGTGGAGCGTGAAGGGGGATTTGGATGCCAGCTTGGGGGATGCAGATGGGGTTGGGTTGGTCCCAGCTGCCCGTGGACAACAGCTGGCAGGGTCGGGCATCTCACATCCATCCCATGAACGTGGCACACTGTTGGAGAAGGGGAGTGGGGATGCATCCCTTGTGGATCACACCCACAGCTCGGGCTCTGCAGCGCAGCCAACAGCTGCAGACAGGGCTTTTGGTGGGCAGGTCAGTGCACAGCCAGCCCTCCGTCCTGTGCTTGATGGCAAAATCTGGGAGTCCCACCAGTCGATGGCAAACGTGGCTCCTTTAGGAAAAAAAAAAAAACACCAAAGCAAAACAAGCCTTTGCAGTGTCAAGAAAAATATTTAAAAAAGCTTTAGAATGCAGCCAGCACATGGCCTATATGGCCTATCCACACAAGATCCCAAACAAAAATGAAAAGACTTCACATTTGAGATCGTCTCCCAGGAATTCTCTCTAAGCTGTGTCACAGCTGCTGAGCATCTGCTGCGCATCCCCAAATGCACCCAGCACAGTGCCCAGGGGCCGTGCACCCTATAAAGGGCAGAACAGCAGGGGATGAGGCATGGAGCACCCACAGCAACATCTGGGCCGGGCTCTGTGTCACCCAGCATCGCACAGCAGCATCGCGGTGCTGCATCCTTAGAGGAGCTCCAGGTCTCCCCTTTGTTTTGCTGCCCGTTTCTGCTCAGGCCATTTTGTCTCAGGCCACTGGACTGCGCTGCTCGGGGCGTCGCTCATCCTAATTAATGCCTGCAGAGATGGCAGCCCACTCAGCGCTGGCATCACCCACGCTTCTAATTAACTTTCCTAATGAAGAGGCCTCTTTCTGTGAGCAGAAGTATTCCAGAACGGCCCCTGTGACTGAACAGGGAGAGAAACCCTCTCCATCTCAGCCATGGCACCTTGGAGCTGCTCTTCTTGTAGGGAAGCTGAGGCAGGAAGCATTCCCGCATGGAAGCTGTGGGGGAGCAGCACCCCACACCCTGATTCACTTTCTTGGATGTGCATTTCTTGGCAGGAGCTGAGCTCTGGGTGCAGCCCCAGTCCCCAGGGCCGGCTCCAACTTGCTGCTGCATCACACAAACCCTCCCTGCCAGCCCAGCTTTGCTCCTATCCTGTAAGTCTCACCGTTCCTCCCAGCCCTCCATCTCCCCTTCTGGTTGCTGGCAGTGACTGTCCTCCCCTGGCCATTCTGCAGCTCAGCCCATTTTCTCCTTCCAAACCCCACAGCAAGAGCCTGGAAGACCTTGAGCAGCCTGCTGGGAGCCTGATGTTCACCACAAAATCCCATTTTGTGCTTTTTAAAGGAACCTCCAATACGAAGCCCAGCCTGGTTTGCACAGGGCAGGCAGCTCACGCCACATCCAGCAGCAGCAATGCCTGCACGCCCTGCAGCAGCCAGCAGCCACATTTACTCGCTCAATATTCACAGCCTTTGCCAAAGCCTTGAGAAAATCTACTCAGGCTGATGGAGGAGCTCATCCCCATTGGCGGACTCCCAGACTCGCAGCTCAGTTTTGGCACAATTTGGGTGTGCTGTTTTTGTTGGCTTTTTTAAATAAGGAGTGCTGCTAAGATTAGGTAAGCTGGGGCGTGAGTCTGGGAAAGGAGAGCAAATGGAGAATTCACTTTAGGAAAAGGAGTGGCTTCAGTTGCTGTGTTGGAGGGATTTGCCTGCAGTTCAGCTGGGACCTGCCTGCCTTCACTTCCGTGTTTCACTCCCGTGATGAACGCAATGGTTTTCCTGCTCTGCTCCCAGCCAGAAGCTGCCTGCAGGGACCCTTCCCATGGGACATCACTTGGTGAGGGGTTGGGATGCTTTTCCCACTCCAGCATTGTGCAGAGCCGGATACGAGCAGGATAACTGGAGGATTACCAGCAGGATAACTGGAGGAACCCGGGCTGCAGTTTGGCACCCATATCCATGTGCACAGGGACCCAAATGGAGCTCGGTGTTTCTGGCAGCTCTGCCCTGCTTTGCCTCTGGCTTCAGGCTGAGCCCAAAGTTGGATAATGGCTTCCTGCAGAGGATGTGTGAGAAGGGATGCGCAGTGAGACACAGCCTGAACACCTCCCATAAATAGCACAGTGTTTACATGGATGCACCATCCCTGATTTGTTTTTCTCCCTGCAGAGAGAACGGATCTTTTAAACCTGCATAAGCTCTCCTTGCCCTGCTGTTGGCACAAAGTGACCACAGCTGACATTTGCAGCGCAGCCCCCGGGTGGCCCCTGGATGCTTGACCCCAACCCTGTGCCCTCTGCTCAGCTGTGGAGGTGAGGGAGAAGCCCACGGGCTACCACTGATGGTGGCACTTGGGAATGGGATGTCACCGCTGATGTCCCCTGTGCATCCTAAGGCATCCCCTGCCTTAGGATGCACAGGTTTGGATGGAGAAGGTGCCAAGGGACAGATTCAAACAGTAGGACAGCTCTCACTGCATAGAGCAGAGCAGAAGAGGGGACAAATCCAGCCCCACTCCCACCAGAGGAAAGGATGCAGAGAGGTCTGGACAGGGCTGGGGAGTGTCCCCTTCTCCCAACCCTGAGGTCACAGCTGCTCCCAGACCTGTAGAACTCAGATAAACCCAGAGATTTGGAGATGTGCAGGGTGAGCCCTGGAGGTGCCTGGCTCCCACTTAGGGGTGTGGAAACCACCCATGGGTGCTGCATGCCCACAGTGGCTGGGCTGAGGGCTGGGCTGCGGTGCTTTGGGCTTGGCTGGCTCAGCTCCACCAGAGCGAGCACCACTTCCCAGCCCAGGGCAGAAATGTGGGGTTTGACCATTTTACCCCAAACTTCTCCCACACTCCTAACCAACACCTGAAGCAGCCCCAGCATGGGGGAAACCATTCTTCCACGTGCTTTGTTGGGGATAGGAATGAGCCCCCTATCTTCCCCAGCCCTCCCCACTGCTCAGCACGGGGTGCAGCCCCCGCACCCAAAGTGCTGCTCCGAGGGCTCAGCCCCGCCCCGGCACTGATTTTTGGGGGCTATTTTCATCTCCGGTTCCACCCCTCCGGCGGGTCCCGGCCCGGGGCTGAGCACCGAGCGGCTGCTGCTCCGTTCCCGGTACCGGGTGCTCCGCGCTCGCTCCGTTGTCTCCTTCCTCTCCACTCCTGCCCCTGCATCGGGGCTCTGAAGCCGGTTTTGGAGCTGAAAGCGAAACGTGAGGCTTTTGGAGCCCGGGTTTGGCTGCGGAGCGAGCAACCCCAACCGGCACCGCCCGCCCGCCCGCCCGCCTCGCCCCCGCTCGGCTGCGCAGCCCCAAATCGGGTCGGTCGCTCTTTAAAGGGCCGCGGGAGCGCCGCACCATGTGATGCTCCGTCCTCAGCTGCGAGCTGCCTGCGGGAGCAGAGCGGTGCTGGGCACCGGTGCCGAGCGCAGCCCCCCGTCCCGCAGCCCCCCGTCCCGCAGCATCCCCTCCCTCAGCATGTCCCCCTCCCTGCCCGCCGGCTGAACGCCTCAGACTCGGGGACACCGCCGGCACAACCTCCTGGAGCCGGACAAGGTGAGGCGTCCTTCGGAGCTACGGACAGCAGAACGGCTGCTCGCGGCCCCCCACCCCCCCCCGCCGCTCCCCCCACCCCGGCACGGCGGGTCACGGAGCTCCGCTCCGCGCGGTGCGTTGCGATGGACGGACGCGCTGCGGGGGGACGGGGCAGGACGAGGTCCGGGGGGGCGGCACAGGCGGTGGGATATTTTTTTTCCCACCCCACCCCCGCCCGGGTTCCGTCCCGGCTCCATCTCGGCTCGCAGCGCAGTTTATGACCGCCTCCCTCTGCGTTTGCAGGTAACAGAGGGAGCGCAGAGGGGAGCGCAGCATCATGGCACAGCCCGTGTCGGCTTTTCAGGCTGCTTACATCTCCATCGAAGTGCTGATCGCTTTGGTGTCGGTGCCGGGGAACATCCTGGTCATCTGGGCTGTGAAGATGAACCAGGCGCTGCGGGATGCCACTTTCTGCTTCATCGTCTCGCTGGCGGTGGCCGATGTGGCCGTGGGTGCTCTGGTCATCCCTTTAGCCATCATCATCAATATCGGACCGCAAACGGAGTTCTACAGCTGCCTCATGATGGCGTGTCCCGTCCTCATCCTCACCGAAAGCTCCATCCTGGCGCTCCTGGCCATCGCCGTGGATCGGTACCTGCGGGTAAAGATCCCGGTCAGGTAGGACAATGTGAGGAGTGGGTCTGAGGTGGGCACTGGGGGGGTTCAGAGGGAACAGAGATGTCTCAAACCCTTTGAGAAGCAGCAGCACCAGCAGGAAGGTTTGGCTGCAGCAGGAATCGGGGCAGGCTGGGTAAGGGGATCCCACAGCCTCTGGTTGCTTTGCTTGGGAGGGAGTCACTGTGCTCCACTCTGTATCTGGAAGGGGACGACGGCTCTGTCCTCAGCCCAGGTTTCCCGTGCTGAAGGTGGAGGGCACTGACAGCCTCAGGGACCTGTGGGTAGGGGCTGCACAGAGTAAAAACAGTCCCTCCCTACCACACTTGACTTCTCAGGCAGTTTCCCGTTGCACAATTTGTGTACGTGTATTTTTTTTCAAGCCTGAAAAATCCCCATTCTCCACCCCAACAGCACTCCAGAGCCCTCTGTGTCCTCTCACTGCTTTTGGTGCTTTTTTGGTTCTTCTGCATCCTCTGTGTGCTGGGGACGGGTTCAGCTGTGGGAGGACTGCAGGTCTATACTTAGCAGCGCCGCTGAGCTCGTGTCTCTGCTTCTCCCAGCAAATGCAACCTCTCCTCCCTTGCTCCCTCTGAGCGTCAGTTGGGCTTTTGGGGGCAAATTCTGCCCTGGCCCAGGACCCTGAGAGCATTAAGGTGGAGCCTTCTGTGCCACATGTAGTTTGGGTGGGTTTTTCTCCTGCTATATTAACTTTGCACTTGGTCCATCCTGGTCTGAGCACGGTGAGATTTTGCTCTGCCTGTTCAGATCTTTTTCAGTATTGAATAACTTTGCACTCAGTGGTGCCAACCTTCCCACTCTGTCATCCACCCTTATCCCAAATTCCCAGCAGCTGGCATTGGCTGTGGGTGATTTTTTGCCCTAAGCACATCAGGGATCACAAATGGTAGAAAATACCACTGAAGAATAATTCCTGAATCTCCAGAATTCCTGAATTCCTGAAATGCTCCAGATTTCCCCCAGCCTGTTGCTGGATGCCAACAATAACAATAAAATGGTACTGAAACATCTTTCTGGTGCTGATATGCCCTCACAGCCCATCACCTTTGCATTTGGGGCTCTGTGGCTCCCACGGATGGAACTGATGGGGGAAGCTGGACCAAGGGGACTCTGTGGGGATGGATGTCCCATGCCTGCATGCACTTTGCAGAGGTGGTGCTGTGCAGCCCCAGCGTTCCCTGCAGGTCCTGTGTTTGGGATTTCTGAAGGGATGCATGAGAGTTTCCGTGCCATGTGCTGGCTACCTGGGGGCTGAAGGCAAGGGGGCTTTTGGCTGGGAGCAGTTGACTGAAGGAGATAAAGCCAAAAGCATCATTCAGGTGGAGCAGAAGGTACCACACCCCCCAAGCTTCCCAAAGGGAGCTGATCCAAACAGCTGGAAGCCACCTAAAATAGGCTCAGTGCCTTTGTGCTGGAGGAAAACTCCCATCTCCCCCTCGTATCCTTCCTCCCCGCCCAGCAGCACCCCTGCATTCCATCTCCCCTCGCTGGGCGCAGCGGGGTCCCCTCAGCCCAGACCCCGCTTCCCCCTCCCTGATGTGCTTAGGGAAGATGAAACGAGTTCAAAGGGAGGGGAAGGAGCCAGGCAGGAACCGGCCCCCGGCATCCCTGTGGCGGGATGCAGGATGCAGGAGGGACGGAGCCGGAGGGATGTTTTCATGGGGATGCAGTTCCTTTAGTATAGGAACCACAGCCCCCTCGACTAGGGATGCTGGATGCCAGAACACAGCCTGATCCCATCCTTGGGCTCCCTTAGGATTTCTCTCCCTTCATCTGCTTTGAAATACACGCTAGGAGAAGAAAACCAGGGGAAATTTGCTGGAAGTCTTGCACATGACCCTAACACTTAGGGTTGGTGGGTGCCCCCAGCCCACCTCACCCCATGGCACCCTGAGGAGCAGTTCACCAAGCCAAGCTGCATTTCCCATTTCTGAAGGTTCTGAGCAAATATACGATGCTGCAGAGATGTAGAAGTTAGATCAAACTGGGCTGGAAATTGCTCAATAATGGGAGGCAGGAGCAGAGAGGGGAGGCTGAGGCACAGCATGGGTGAAACAGGGCCCTGGGAACAGCACTGGCACTCCAGCAAAGCCCTGAGCCTTAGGAGATTTGAGAGCACAGGAGCATCCCTCAGCCCTGGACCACAGATTCCACCAGTGAGGAGGATTGCAGGTAACCTCCTGGATGGAGGCAGCAGTGCAATGCTTCCTCAGCTTGGCTCTACGCTTTTTGGGCTCCTGCTGGGATTGCAGCGCTCTTTCCCCTTCTCTCTGGGCCTGCCAAGAGCCACAGGCCTGGGGCCAGCTGGGGTTGGGTCACAGGAAGGCTCATCACCCTCGGCCAGCTGGGGCACAGGGCTGAGGTTTTCCTCCACTGAGGTTTCAAAGGAGGACTTGGTGGGATGGTGGGGGGCACTTCGCTGTAGTAGGGGTGAGGGGTCTCTGGGACAGGACACTGCTTGGGCCTAAATTCCCATGAATTGGAGAATAGAAGCACCTAAGGGGTATGGAAAGTATTTCCAGTGCTCCCAACAGTGAGTGTTGGGAAATCTGTAGGGATATTTAGGCTCTGAGAGGCAGCAGCAAGGCCAGCATGGAGAAGGAGAGGTGTGGGATGCAGTAGGGATGTGTGGTGGCCCCAATCCCCGTGGCTCTTGGTCCCCTGGAGATGATCCCTATGGAAAGGGGGAGGCACTGAACCTCAGAAGCAAGATTTTGGTCTGTCTGAAGGATTTTGATCCAGAACAAAAGGTTGAAATGAAGAAAATGAAGTGCATGCTGCATACGAGGTGATGTGACCCACAGGGAATGTCCCCAGGGAAGCAAGGGTGACCGGAGATGGCTCCCAGCAGCCTGGACAATGCAGCAAATGATGTGTGAGGGCAATGGTGAGTGACTGTCCATCCAACCAAGTGAATGAACAAAGCCACGGCTTGTCTGAGGCTTATTTTTAAATTTGGAGGACAGGTTTCAAAGCATTCAGGCGACTCATTGGGAGCTGAGGGAGTTTTGGGGAGCTCACGTTCACAGAAGCTCACTGAGGCATCTTTCAGCTCCGTTAGCTGACAAAAAGATGCAATCCAGCCTTACAAAGCAGGCTGCATTTCTAAGGAATCCTGTTTTCCTAAACCAGAGGAGTTCTGGGAACCGGCAGCTCTTTGCAGCCTCCTCTTGCTCAGAGCCCTTTTGTTCTGCCCTTGCTGCCTTTATTTTTAGCAGATGAGGGTGACCCACAGGGAGCAGGTAGATGGGAACCGAGAGCAAAGAGGAACCAGAGCTCACAGCCCGGAAGGGTTTGCTGGAGAACTGTTTCCAAGTTGTATTTATCAGCACTCCCTGATCAGCTCAGCACATGGCTGCTAAATCTCAGCGTTTCACATCATGCTCTGCTCAGAACCTGATCAGCGTTTCACATCATGCTCTGCTCAGGAGGCACAGATGAGTTGTGGTGCTGGACCAGGAGCCTGAACCCAGTGCCACCAAAATGATCAGAGCCCTGGAAACAGGCAGGGATTTACCAGCAGGTTTTATCAGTCTTAGATCCTGCAAACACCCGATGGAGCCACTTTTCATCATGACTGTGATCCATGGAGTAACATTCAGCCAAGTGAATGCTAAGTCACAGGCTGGGGCTCTTCCCTCTGCGATGGGATGTCAGGATTAGACTCTCTGGGAGTGCACAGCTGCTGCAGCAGCACTGTGAGACGTCTGCTGGCAGCCCGAAAATCAGGTCACAGAAGAAGCCACAGCCGCTGCGATGCTGGCTGGAGGGGGGTGAGCTGGGCTGGGAGCACTGTTCCCATATCCTTGGCTTTTGGGTTTGTGGATGTCCCCTCCCTGGGAGGTGGCAAAGATCGAAGTGTGGGATGCTCCGTACTTGGTAGGGCAGAGGAGAGGGGGGGAATGCCTGGATTTTTCTGAATGTAGGGGTTATTCCCAAAATTTTTGGACTAAGAAGGCAAGGGGAGACGTGTGGCTGTTGGGATGCTGCTCCCCATGCCCACATGCAGGGTCTCCAGCTCATTCCAGCCTCCCAGATGCAATCCGTGTGCTGGGTCAGCTGCTGGGGATTGTTCTGCCCTGACCCGTTTGCTGGAGCCAACATCTGTCCCGTGGGCAGAGCTTCCATCTGCCTGCTGGGAGATGAATGGTAACCAGCTCCTGGCTGGTGTTTTCCTCTTACGCTCCAAAATCAAGCTCTGGGAAGATTTTCACTGGGATTTTTTTATGAATGCTACTAATTGTGAGGTAAAGACATTGACAATGCTTTACCTGCAAGGGCAGGTTCCCTGGAAGGGCAATAGTACACTTGCAGCTAGGGAAACTGAGGCACAGTGCAGTGCCAGGACTTGCTCAGTGCAGGAGGAGTGCGGTGAAAGAGGGGCTACCCGTGGTTCTACTGGTCTGAAGAGTTTAGAGTCGGGTACCAAAGGTTCATTCAGGTGTTTCCAAAGGTGCTGGGTTGGTGGAGGTGATGCCAATGCACACTGGGGTCTGAAACTTTCCAAGGACCCCATAGAGGCAGCAAAAATAGTTCAACACGATACAGGAGGTTCTGCCAAAGCTGCTGATTCAGTCTGCCTGATCCCTGCCAGCCCAGCCTGGCCCTGCAGGCAGTGTGTCAGGAGTGAGTCAGGAGCAGCTCACCCTGGTGTGTGCCTTCACTGCAGCCAGTTGGAGCTGGAGCCGAAGAGACCTTTGCTGGGTTGTCCTGGGTCATCCTTCATCCCTGAGCTGGAAGAAGTTGACTGCAACAGTGAGAGATGTCACTGTCACCCCACCTTTATAGAAAGGCCAGCTTGACTCTGATGACCGGAGAGGGATTTTGGCCGTAAGTTTGGTGGAGACAACTGGAACAAAGCCCACCAGACTGTGCTTTCAAGATCTGGTTGGCAGGGACCCGCAGACCAACAGCCACAGTTTGCAATCAGTGAGGCCAGAGCCAACCACCCCTTCTGTCCAGAGCACACCAAAGCAGACTGC